TTACTCGTAAACCGGATTGTTTTAATTTGCCGGCCAATTCTTCACAATAATCTTTAATTTCCTTTTCTTCATTAAAAGGCAAAATAGCCACTTGACAGGGAGCCAATCAAAAAGGTAATTTGCCGTCAGTTTGCTCTAATAATAAAGCAATAAATCTTTGATAAGAGCCAATGGGCGACTGGTGAATAATGGCTGGAATTTTTAAATTTTGTTCAGAATCGATATAATTTAAACCGAACTTTTGGGGTAGAATGAAATCTAACTGAATAGTGGAAATAGTAATATTTTTGCCGTCCGCGGCCGTGATTTCCAAGTCTAATTTTGGTCCATAAAAAGCCGCTTCGCCCTGGAGAATAACGTAATTTAATTTTAACTCATTTAAAGCATTAATTAAAATGTCTTCAGAATATTTTCATAACTCTTTATCCGAATGATATTTTTCGGAATTGTTGGGGTCATGGAGAGCACAAACAAGACGTGAAATGGGAAAATTGAAGGCCGATAAAACCTCGGCAATGTAAAGATAATTTTTTTTTAATTCTTCTTTCAATTGTTCGGGGGAAACAAAAATATGATGGTCGGCTAATTCAAACCAGCGGGGTCTTTCTAAACCTTTCAGTGCCCCCGAAGCCTCATAACGAAACAGGAGAGAATTTTCACATAGACGGAATGGTAAGTCTCGGTAAGAACGAGGCTTTTGCTGATAAATTAGACAGTGATGAGGGCAAGTCATCGGTCGTAAATAAAAAGTCTCATTATTGCGGCTGATTTCTGGAAACATATATTCTTGATAGTGATCCAAATGCCCGCTGGTTTTGTATAAGTACTCACTTCCTAAAATGGGGGTAATTACTTCTTGAAAGCCAAATTCTCGTTGTTTTTTTCACAAAAAGCCAGATATTTGGTGGCAAATAATTACTCAATTAGGCAACAAAATTGGTAAGCCTTGTCCGGCCTTCTCGTCCAGGATATATAAATCTAATTCTTTAGCAATCGTTCGATGGTCTTGTTTTTTTTCGACGGAAAAAGCATTACTGTCTTTATTCATTATAAAAAATATTTTAACCGATAATTCTAAATACCAGAGTAAAGTGGCTAAATTTCAAAGAAAATGAAAACAAATGGAGCAAGTGACATACTTACTTTTGCGATACACCTAGATAAATTAAGTTGCGAGGAGTGAATAATTATTAACATCTCTTATAAATAAAAGCCGTAAAATCTGGAAATTCTTTTTTTTTAATCAACCCTCCCTTATTTCAATCGTCAAAAGGAAAATAAACATTGCCCTCATAATCCCCCTTTATCAGTGTAACATAATAATAATCCGCTAACTGATAAGTTTGTTGGTAGATTTCACGACCGCCAATTACAAAAATGTGTTTGATGGGGTTTTGCTGATAAGGTACTAAAATCTCTTGTAAATTGCTGGTGAATGTTAAGTTTTTTGTTTGTCAATTTTGATATTTTTCAGGATTTCGAGTAATTACTATATTATGACGATTTTTTAAGGGTTTGCCAATACTGGCAAAAGTTTTTGCTCCCATTAAAACTGTCTGATCCGCAGTAATTTGTGAAAAATATTTTAGTTCAGCCGGAATTTGTCAAGGCAATTTGTTGTCTTTGCCAATGAGGCTGTTGCGGTCCATGGCTCAAATTAGATTTATCATTATTATTTTTTTTGAGATTTTAGATTATTTGTTGCTGGCAGGTAATCAGCCACGTAAAAATTATTAATAACAGAAAAAAGTTATGAACAATTATCAAAGAATTAAATTGCCCTACGAACTTAATGAACTAGAATGAGTAATTTCTTTCAAAACCATGTATTATCACTACAATATTCTCCACAAAAATTACGAAGTCAAACTTTTGGAAACGCTGCGGGGAACCGAAATCATGGAACAATTTCCTACTTTGGAAAACTTGATGGAAAACTTGGCTCAATTGCCGGAGGAAATAAAAGATGACGTGCGTTTTTTTTGGGGGCGGATTAATTAACCATAATTTTTTTTTTCGCTCACCTGACTAAATTTAAATCCGAGCAAAAGGAACGTGAAAGAGCAGAAAAAATAAGCCCCGATTTGCTAAATCTTATTCAAGAAAAGTTTGGCAGTTTAGAAAAATTAAAAAAAGAATTAGTAAAAAGTGCCTTAAAAGTGCGTGGGAGTGGTTGAACTTGGTTGGTGCTGAATAAGAAAGGAGAATTAAAAATTATTAATACTACTAATCAGGATGGGCCTTGGTCTTTACATTTACGGCCGCTAATTGCTATTGATGTTTGAGAACACGCTTATTATTTGGATTATGGGGCTAATCGTAAAGAGTATGTGGAAAAATTGTTGGATTTTCTTTTGAATTGAGAATATATTAGTCAGAGTTATCTTGATTATGTTGGAGTAAAATAAATTAATACAGCATGACAGTCATCAAAAAAAAAAAAAACGCTAATTATTGTTAGTGTTCTTGGAGTTGTAATTTTA